GCCACTATAGTGGTCCGTAGTACCTCAGTGGCACCAAATGGAAAGCCACTATAGTGGCTCTTAGTACCTCGATGGCATCTTATGGAAGGCCACTATAGTGGCTCTTAGTATCTCGATGGCATCTTATGAAAGGCCACTATAGTGGCTCGTAGTACCTCACTGACACCATATGGAAAGCCACTATAGTGGTCCATAGTACCTCAGTGGCATCATATGGAAAGCCACTATAGTGGTCCGTAGTAGCGAAAGGGTTAAATGAGCTGCGTTTTAATTTTCCTAAAAAATCGGCACGAACTTTCCGGACGACCCAATAATAACGTTGAAGACAGCGGCTAGAATATGCGGCTGAGTGGCCGGTGAGAAGGGCATAGGATTCTCGAACCGCTACCGGTCGGTAAAGCGTTGATAAATAATTTGAAAACTCGGGAGTGAAACGCGGAGGTCACTCGCCTGTCGAGAAATTTCGGGATCGCGAGGACGTTCAAGAACTGACAGGCGAACGCCGTGATGTATTCGCTGTCGAAGTCCTGCAACGATTTGCTGAGCAGCCTCTTGTCCTGGCAGATGCCCATCTCCGCTTGGCTCAGATTGTCCCAAGAGATGGGCTCCAGCATGGTCATCGCCACGATCACGTTATCGTTCTCCATGGCGGCGGAGAGGAACTTCCAGGACAGCACGTCCATGTTCTGCACGTCGTCGAGCAGGATGCAGATATTTTCGCCGATCTGGAGAGATGCGATCGTGATCGAGACTGTGTAATTGAAAAACGGGAGACGAGACAGAAACGGATAGGTCTACCTTCTGCAACATCGTGTTGAAGATGTCGATGGTCTTCGTGTGACGCTCCCAGTCGGTCAACTTGCAATACTCTTTCGTGAGGGGGAAATGAACCTTCATCACGGGGTTCAGGTAGCACAAATTTTTGGGAGATATCAGGGTCGCCACTCTGTTCGACACGATCCTCTCGCGGTCTCCCATCGCGGTGCAGTTCGTCGCGCAGAACAGCTTGTCGACAAAATGGATCATGACAGCTATATTGTGTAGAATTAATTTTCTGCCACCGCAGCATCGCCGTATTATCGAACAATTAGCGTATAAATCGAAATGGATTGACTTACTATTTACACGCCCCGCCCTCTTATTGTTAGAAGAATCTCATGGAACGCTTTATGGCCGATTTAACTTCTTAAATCGAACCCTCAGCGACGTTAAAAGTTTTGAAGATTTTTATTTGATTTTTCTATTTTATTCGCACGTTTTATGCATAACCTCATATATTTTATGTTGTTGTGAAGTAATCTACATTTAGCCTTGAGATATTTCTCGTATCAAGGGTTCGCATTCGTTAAGACCAGGACTACCGAGCTCTAGACGCGACTAATGTATATTATTTTATAACAATGCCAAAACTGGATTTATTTGAACTGCGGATTATTTGTATTTTAATAAATGCTTCAATTGATTAGTATACCTAACAAATTTTCCGCTAAATGTTTTTATAGAATCAGGAGTTGTAAAAGAAAAAATCAGGAACCAGTCATTTTGACTGGTTTGGTAGTTCCAGTGTTAATAAATAAGTAATATAAATAAATAATATAAATATTCTTCAAAGATAATAATGATATAAATAATAATAATAATCATAATAATATGATAATGATAATATAATAATAATAATATGATAATAATGATATAATAATAATATGATAATAAAGATATAATAATAATAATAATAATATGATAATAAAGATATAATAATAATAATAGTAGTAGTAATAATGATATAATAATAATAATAATAGTAGTAATAATAATAACATAAGTATTCTTAAAAGAATCGAACTCGACTGACGAACCGGCGATTACCTGGAGAAGCAGCTGGTACAACACCGAAAACTCCTTGTCCACGAAGGACTCGCGCAACGCGAGCTTCAGCAGAGTCAGTTGCCGGTTTTGAGCGATCATGGCGAACGCGTCGAGGAGCCTCGACTTGCCCGACCTCTCGGCGCCCTAAACGACCGATTTGAAACCGTGTCGAAGACCGAAACCGTCTAGACGATATCAATGAATAATATCGAACCAACCTCGATGAGCATCCCCGCGTAACTCTTCCCCGGCACCCCAATATCGTCCAAGATGTCCTTGAAGTACTCCAACTCTTTCGTTCGACCGAGAATCGGATAGACGTAGTCGATGTTCAAGTGATATTCCTCGGACATTCTTCGATTTAGATACAAAAGCTCTTTGCAGTTTGAACGCACACTAATTAAAAAATGATAGGTCGAGCCACAAATAACTTCCGATACAGCTAGGTAGAATCTATTGTCCGACCCACTATGAGTCGTCGGGACAAACGAGTTTTTGCTTTCGCTAAATAGATAATGGCTCAAAATAAATAAAATAAAAAATAAATACAAAATAAATAAAATAAAATAAGTAAATAAAAAATAAATAAAAAATGAATAAAATAAAATAAGTAAATAAAAAATAAATAAAAAATAAATAAAATAAAATAAGTAAATAGAAAATAAATAAAATAAATAAGTAAATAAAAAATAAATAAATATCCGTTTCTAACAAAGAAGCGAAAGTTATCTATCACTCGATCTAATAGTTTAGCTTACTTGTGCAGTTCTACGACCTCGTAAACTTGGGTCTTGCCGTACCCTTTGAGCACCATCATCCCCCGCGATTGAAATCTCTCCGTCTTCAAGTAACTGTGCATCACTGTGTCGTAGTCGCAGTATGCCTGCAACAGGTGTTTCTGTAGAAACGAATTGGTCGCGAGCGGGAGGGATGAGAAACCTTGCCGAAGGACAACGCCATCAACGACGTGGCCTTGTACATCGGATCGCCGATGATCATGTACTGCTGTCTGACACAGTGACCGATGACTCCGCAAAACGCCATTCCTGAGCAAATCGCGTGAGAATAACGTACACCGGATTAATCGCCGGTTCGTTTACCGGTTCGATTACCGGTTGAAATGCCGATGAAGACAGTCTTGATGCCACCCACGCGTTTCGTCTCGTCCAGGATCTGCAGGGCGGACAGCACTCCGCTTTTCGCCATCTTATCGTCGTCGAGCTCCCCGTACCCCCTCATCCCGTACACGACGTGGAGAAGAATGTCTCTGGTGTAGATGTTTACGCTAACGTGGCCCGAGTACTTGGTAGCTATTCTTGACGTAACCAATATGTTTGGTTATCACGGAGATTACGGTCTCGCGAGAAGTCGCTCTCAGGATTGTTCCACGCAACTAGTCCAGAAGGATCATTGCTGACCTATGCTTTTGATTATTAGTCAAGTCATCTCGACTAAGTGACACCTAGCTTGCCGACTTCGATGCTCCTTCTCGATTTGCTAGGTCAACACTGCCCTTTAGAAGCTCATTCTACTCAACGAGATTTAGCGCGACTGACCCTTTTTACAGGACATTTCAAATTCGTAGCGACAATTACGGCAAAATAGACATATTTACAATCGATATCATGGAATTCAAAACGAGTTTACATAAATCGATCACCTAAAACCTTGGCTCGCAGATTCTGTGTTATATTAATATTAACTTTTAGCTTTGTACTGCAAAAATGGGTTTGTACCCGTACATATAAATAAATTAAATTAAATTAAATTAAATTAAATTAAATTAAATTAAATTATATTATATTATATTAAATCTGCATTTCCTCTTATCCGAGTTACGTGGAGCATCCCCTGCGGCTCGAGAAAGATACTTTAATATAATCGAGAAGATCTCGTCGATCAGCGAAATCAGTTCGTGCACGGTACACCTGTTCGGTATCACGTTCACGACCAGCACGGTGACACGTCTCACTTCCGTGAGGTGGTCCAAGGATGCTTCGCGTTTGATCTACGAACACGTGGATGTCAAAATTTGCCATTGGATCCGTTGAATCGCGAATACCGACGTCGAATACCTGCTCCAACACTGGCTTATGTATGTACGTCTCCAACTGGACACCCAGACGTTGCTTCAGCGTCTCGATTATCGAGATTCGGGCCGCTGAAATCGGCAATGAGGAAGAATTCGGGCATGAGGTTAGCGATTAGGGTTGTGTCAAGATTAAGGAAAAATAGATTTTTGAAAGTAGGCTGTAATTGTTTTTATCTTCTCATGTAACACAGAATTTGATAAATAAACTTTCGATTGAAATAGTAGTTGCACGTGACTATCACGTGGGGTGAGCTCGACCTCTTTTTGCTGCGATTTTTCGAAATTTTATTTTATTAACCAAATTACAGCAATATCTAAGTAATTTAACATATATATTATTATTATATTATATATAATATTATATTATATTATATATTGTTATTATATATTATTATATTATAATATTATATATTGTTATTATATATTATTATATTAGATTATATAGATTATATAATATATTATAGATTATATATATATAAGGAGAATAAAAATTCCGTTGAAGGATGGAACAATTAATGTCGTCCGAACGCATTTTTAATACGAAGTAGAAATGAATACATGCGTACTATTTATGTTATACAGTGGTTCTATGCATAATATATCCCTTAAAATTAAAATAGTATAAATAAACTTACCTATCTGTCAATTAATTCTAAGAATATACATAAATAAAAAAAACTTGCAGATCTGTTTAAAGCTTTAAACGCTATTTGCAAGATTAGGATACAGTTTCGCGACAATTGCTATACGATTATTCGCTTATTGCTATACCATTCTTGTGTACAACCTGAGCGTTAATTAGGGTAAATTTACTGTATTTACATTGGCCGGTCTCTCTAGCCGGCCAAATTCTCCCGGACTTACCCTAAATATAATTGAAATGCTATTATTTGCCAAATTCTGTATTACAAGAGGGGATAAAAATATTTACATCCTATTTGCTATTTCAAAAATCAATTTTGCCCCTCAGACCTGGTACTAACCTGGAAGACGACTCGATATGATGGTCGTGAGACGAGATCTGCCGGAGTAACTGGAAAATGCATCCACATCGTTGAAATCGCTGTTCTCTACGTCCATCTCTTCCGATAAAATCGATGACGCGAGCTTGCCTGGACGATTCGTGGCATCCGATTTCGATTGAGTTTGCTTTGATTTCATTATAGACGCCGATCTCGGTTCTCCGAGTACTCTGATGATCTACAAACGTTCTCATCGTCGGGTGATTTCGCAGTATACGCAGCTGCTGCGAAATTGGTGATGAAACCCTGACCCTGCCATCGTTATCTTAGCTCTAAACTCGAAAGTGTATAATACCAATTTTTCCGTATGGCAATTTATCCGGTAAGCTAAAATGTAATGTGACCCATTATGATCATGACCACATCTGATGTTACTTAGGATCAAATGATCGACGCAGTATACTTCTTGAATAGCTTTTCGATTTACTTTCTATTTTCAAAGTTTTCAATGGTTTCTACAGGTGGTGTTTCGATAGTTTATTAAAACTCCAAATACATTTCGGATCTCGCTGAGACACCGTTTAATGCTTCGACCAGAATGCCATAGAATCGATTATAATCATTTCAACAATCTCAACGGAATACATATCTTTTAACACACTATATGCGGAAGAGGTAACTCTTTGCACTCGCAAGCCATTCTCACCCTGAATTCAAAATAGCTTTTCCGATTTACAGTATTTCCATCTTGTATGACTTAAGTACATTTTATATAATATAAAATTTATAATATTTATAATATAATATTTATATTATATTTATATAATAACTCTTTGCAGTCGGAGCTACTTGAATTCGAAATCCAAAACACATTTTCCGTACAATGCAATTTTAACAGTTGTCTTTTTTAAATATAAAGGAATTTGATGCTCTTACAATGATTTTGAAAAATAGTATACCAATTTCTACTGGCGCCTCAGAGTCGCCACCCAAGTACAAAGGGATAATAATAATATTTATATTATATTTACATAATAATAATAATATTTATATCATAATAATATTTATGTAATATAAATTATATATAATATAATTGTGACTCGTGCAACAATTACAATTATAACAGTTTTTAAAACATAAACAAACTTGATAATGTTAAAATTATTTTGAAACGTTATATAACAACTTTAAATGGCGAGTCAAAGTCGCCAGTCTCTCTAGTGCGAAGGGTTAATATCTTACTAAAAAATTTAATTTTTTTAATGAAGAAGCACTTAATACTAGCAAAACTGACAATAAGATTTTGATGACAAGTGTATAACGAGGATTTTTCGGACTTTGCAGAGGGATTCTTTCAAATATATAACGAAATTGAAAAAATTAGATTTTTTAAAAAGTGTGCGTCGGATCACTAAATTTTTTCGCTTTCCCTCTTACTTTCAACATTAATTTTACGCGACCGCCAGCTTCCTACGACGTCGAAGTTTAGCGATCCGACAGATCTGTTCACATTAACTCACTATGTGTGTATTAACCTTTTTAAAAAATTTAATTTTTTCCAATTTCGTTATATATTGTAAAGATCCTCGTTACATACTTGTTGTCAAAATCTTATTGTCAGTCTTGCTGATATTAATATTATTATTAATTAATATTAAATCGTTTCATCTGTACTTCATTATGCCAAGGAGTTTAACCAGTCAATAAATAAACAAACGAATAAACAGATACCTTGACGTTGCTCGAGTCCTTGATCACGTACTCGTATTGGCTTGGCGCGCAATGTTCCCACGCGCTCGAACACAGGACCAAGTCTCCAGGAAGGCATATCCTTTTGGCGAATTTCAGCTCCATCACCGGCGAGCCGCCGATCACGTAATCTCTAGCCGTGTCGTCGCCGATCACGGAGAATATCACTTCGCCCGCGGAGACTACCACGTCGACTACCACGATCGAAATAGAAAATAATACGCGCGATGACCGGAGCTCGCGAAATTTGTCCACGAAAAACGTACTCTTTCCCTCGAAACTTTTGTCCTTGACCGCCTCGACCATCGCTTGCATCTTTTGCGCGTGCAGAATCACGTTATACAACGTGCTGGAGAAGAAGGTGTCCTTGCTGACCCTCCACAGCACCACTATACCGTCCACTGCGCCAAAGAAACACGCTAATCTATGCAGGGTGTCCCAAAAATGTCTCGCAATCCGAAAGTAGGGGATTCCTGAGGTGATTTGAAGCAACTTTTTCCTTAGCGAAAATGCGATCCGCGGCTTCGTTTACGAGTTATTAACGAAAAACGGTGACCAATCAGAGGCGAGATCGTTTGGCGCGAGACGGCCGAGCCAATGAGCGGAACTGGGCTCCGTGCACTCGTTGGCTGGGCCGCCGCGCGCCAGCCGAGCTCGCCTCTTATTGGTCAGTGTTTTTCGTTAATAACTCGTTAACGAAGCCTCGGAGAACATTTTCGCAAAGGAAAAAGTTGCTTCAAATGACCTCAGGAACCTCCCATTTGCGGATTGCGAGGCATTTTCGGGACATCCTGTAGATCGGAGACTAACTCGATCAGTAGACCGCGGATCTTTGTGCAAAATAAAAGATTTATTAAAACGAATGGTAAAGAGCAGAAGTTCGATAAAGATGTACTTCTTCGTTTAACCCTCGGATGTCGGGCGTCGGGTCCATCTGGACCCAGAGTTACAAGCGTTCCACCTAAATTCTTATTTCGTGGCAGTCGTACGTTAATTATTAACTGTTAATATTGAAACTAATGAAAAGATTAACTTTGGTGTCAACGAAGAGGTAATAATAATATACAAATGAAAATTAATCATAATAATAAATGAGAACGAAGATTTGAACGAACCTAGCCGTGGCTGCCATAAATGCTCAAAAATGTTCGCCGTGCAAAAGATGATAATTACAATAAATTAATGAGTACAGTAAATTCTCTCTAATTGACGTTTAGATTGCGCACAAAGATGGACAATTTAGGAAGAGAAGATACGATTGTTCCAGTCGTGAGGCTCGTTTCTATAGCTGTTGACAGTCGATAATTGTAAAAATTTCGTAACCTTATATTTCCTCTTCCGAAATTGTCCACTTTTGTTTACAAGCTGAAGGAAAAATCGGTACTTCTAAGATGGTATCAAGTAAGATTTATTTACAATAATACTCTCTCATCATCGTTAAGGCCAAAGTGTGACTAATACCAAAATTTGAGGTCAATAGTTGCAACTACTACATGATCCTAATTTTAATAATAACAATAATAATAATAATAATAATAATAATAATAATATTCGGTACATAGTTTACTAACAAAATTATTATTATTACTATCGTTATTGACATTAAGATTATGTGGTAGCTGCAACTACAATATAATAATAACATTCGGTACATAATTTACTAAGAAAATTATTAAAATAAAAAATAGAAACGAGCCGCAAAGCTCGAATAATCGTATCTCCTCTTCCCAAATTGCCCATTTTTGCGCACAATCTCAGTGTCAATTAGGAAGAATTTACCGTATCTAAGAACACCTTTAAATTCGTCTGCCTTTATTGTTTCGCGTACAACCTGATGAATTTTCGGATAAATGCACGGAATCCGCCTATCTATTGGTCAGAATCTACTCACGAGAGAACTTGTAAACGTCACCGCCGCTGTAGTACACCTCCTCGACGATGCGGCCGATGAAGGAGTTCAGCATCTCGACCAGCGCGTAGCTTCCGCCGTTATCGGCGTTCGTGTACTTCTGATAGTGGCCGAAGAGCCGAGAGACGTCGATCATCGCCAGCACCACGTTGAACTTCCGGAAGTTCTTTCGGGAGATGTCCGTCTCGTAGATCAGCTCGTCGGGAACGAAAGTCGCCAGAGTTCGGACGCATTTGTCCATTCGATGTGTGAGCAGCACCTGGCGCAAACATCGTGGAAGACGTCTTCGCCGAATCCGACAGAAAAAAAAGAAACAAGACAGCGCCGACAGAACAGAAATTAACCTCTCTCAAACCAATGGTGGGCTTCTTGAAAATAGGACCGATCAGGTCAGGCGTCCACGCCGTTCGCTTCTCTTCCAACTCGAACATAACCGAAGCATCTTGAAAAGTACCCATTCTCGTATTCGCGTGGACAATCGTCCGTCGTTTACTGCGCGTTTACTGCGATGCTTGACAAAAGAAATCGCGAGATCGTGCGATCTTCACACGAGTGTCACATCGAATTAATTAATTATTAATCCTTTGCAGTCGAAGCCGAATTGACGCTTTTGCGTTAATTTTTCAATCTTTTTAAAAATAGTTTTTCCATTTTATACGACCAAATGCATTTTCTGTACACGAAATTGAATACTGTGACCCGTGCAACAGTTACGCTCTCAACAACTCTTCAAGTATAAACAAATTTGATTAATAAAATTATTTTGAGACGTGACATAACAATTTTTAATGGCGCCTCGGAGTGCAAAGGGTTAATCGGAAGGTTCGGCAGCCAACTGAATTGTACACTTTTCTTCGAAAGTTAGTTACGCGGTGCAAACACATCTTTAACATAGGATCTTCGGTCGATTAATTAATATATAGTCGATTTCTTTTTACAAATAAACGATAAATAGCGGCAATTATATTCCCCACGGAATAACTAAACGAAATAAAAAAAATTATTAATTTGTTATCTTTTTTACAGCTAATTTGCAAGATTCTTCTTTATCTTAATATTAAGGTTATTGGACGTACACTGATTGGCTTCTGAACCATCTAATTGTAGCATCGATTTTGTGAATTCTATTTATTAAAGTCAGCTTATTAAAAATTATGAAAAATATTTGAAGGAGAATTCTTTGCAGGACTGTTGTTAGGAAGATTAACGGAGACGATTATCTGTAGATAAATAATTTATTTTTTCTTATTTATTTTTAAAGTATATACATCTTCGTACAAACTATATAAAGAGGAATGTATAAACATCAAGCTCCTTAAACTATCTTATGCTACAAGTAGGAACCATATTCGTTGGTCGACTCGCGCAATCGTCGAAAGCAAACCCAAAATAATCCTATTTTCTATTCGAAAAAAGACAAACCCCCCAAAAAGGAAAAAGGCGGGCGTAGGCGCGCTCGCCTGGCCAATGGAAACTGAAAAATAGTAATCAGAGAAAGATTTTGCATCGCGTCGCGAGTCCGACCAATCGACTTAACATTACGCGAACAAAATTCTCAGACTTTTATCTTCTCAGTCTTATCGAACGTTTCTCCCTATAATACATCCGTCAATGGACATAGTCGTAAAAAAGAGCACACATAATTTTAAACAAAGAAAAAAGAAATCTGTGGTCTCCCGCATCGACCACGATGCTAGATTTCCGGCAGCGTGTCACCCCATCGTATTCGAAAATATAAACATTCTCTATATAATTTTTTATATAATTGACACTTTGCCGAGAAACACTGTCGTCTCATCGTCTCGCAGTCTCGCACCCTCTCGACAAACTCTCAGGAATTACCGAAGTATCGATCCTTAAAAATCGGGCGCGACCATCGGTCGCGCTTCGAGGAAAAAAATGGACTCCCGATACAGCAAAAATCTCGCTGAACTTATAAACGTCGCAATAAGACATCCGCGGTGAACGCTGAACGGGTCGTCGGTTAAGAAGAATCTAAGTTACACCATTGTTTAAAACGTAAAGAGCGATCCCCCCGGTCGCCGGGGCAGACTTTCAACGCCGTCCGCTTCTCGTCAGTTGGGGGAAAGAACAAATAAAAAATGATCAACGTAAATGAAAAAGAAAGGAACGAAAAAACTTGTTAAAAGGACTGGAGAGAAACGTGTCGAGTAAAAACGAAGGCAATCGCAGTGAGTGAACTTAAAATCTCATTCCCAATGGGAGAAGCAAAGGAACCGAGAGGTATCGGTAACGTTCGTCAACTGGGGGGAAAAAAACGTTAAGAACTCGTTGAAGCTTCGCGTTGAAAATCGGAAATTCGGATCGACTCTTTCTTCTCTATCCGCACGCGTTCCCGCTCGTACACGATAAGAGACAACGTTTCAAAGATACCTGAACATGCCACAGCCGATTATCCACCCTTCTTGTCCACGCGCTAATTTACTTTAATTCTTTAAGTCTGTAATTTCTTAACTTATTTTGATTGCGTACGGAGACCACCGTCATACAGTGTCCCTGCACCGGTTTTTCCGACTAGAATCGAGATACATGCTATCTGACCCTGCTTTGATCTTTGTCTTAATTACCACTGAGTATTTCACCGGTTGGAAAATGACGTTGCATCCTTAACATACGTAAGAAACGTGACGGAAACGAGTCCTGGAACGAGAATCTAGAGAAAAAAAAAGAATAAGATATCTGATCAGAGAGATCTCGGAGCAAAATAACAACCGTCCTTTTTCTTCTACCGTGCATATAGAAACGATCCTGTAATAAACAATATTAGAGTTTCGCACAGAGCTTCGCGAGATATTTTACCTGGCCCCCGCTCTAACTTTCGTTCTAGAAAGCATCCGCCATGTATTATAAACTATATATTTTTTCTGTATATCAAAATATAATATATATATATTGTATATATATATATATTGTATATATATTGTATATATATACATATAATGTATATAATGTATATAATATGCACGCCTATCTACATATATACATAGTACTTGCCCGTACACTTTTGCACTAATTTGCAAACATAATCGAGGTATGATCGATTACTTTGCTATCACTTGGACCGAGGGGGTGAACGTTATCGAGAAACGTGTTTCCCTAACCAGCAAAGAGGTTTCTGTCACTTTGCCGGACTCGGCCAGAATATCGTAATACTTGTGCAGGACCCAGAACGGCCGGGTCCTGTCCGATTCAAGTTACGAGTGTTGGTTTCTGCAAGTGTGCAGAAAAAAGGCAACCTTGTCAGCACAGGTGATGCCGCATATATTGCACGTGAAGGGGTTTTGGAAGCCGTGGTAGCTCATGTGTACACTGTACATGACCACGTTGGCGAACGTGATCTCACAATATTGACAAGTTAATCCGTTGCTCGGATACACACAGCGTTCGCCGTTGACTTGCTGAGGGGCCTGATACGCTGGATTGCTGGCAGCCGGGGGCTCCAATGGTATTGGCTGGTACATCGACCGTCGTCGACGTAGCTGCTGCGGCTGTTGGGGCTGTATCATCTGTTGCAGCTGTTGCGGCTGTTGCGGCTGCTGTTCTTGCTGTCGTTGATATTGCTGCTGTTCTTGCTGTTGTTGATATTGCTGCTGTTCTTGCTGTCGTTGCTGTTGCTGCTGTTCTTGCTGTCGTTGCTGTTGCTGCTGTTCTTGCTGTTGTTGCTGTCTCAGCTGTTGTAACATCAGCGCCTGCTGTAGCTGCAACGCCTGTTGTAGCTGCAGCGTCTGTTGTGAATTTGTTGCCCTCGTTGTTTGCCGAGGCCTCGATGTTTGCCGAGACCTGGATGGCTGTTGCGGCTTCAGCACCTGTCGCGCCTGTTGCACCGATTGTACCTGATGTGTTTGCTGCGACAGTTGCAGCACTTGCGGCACTTGCGGCGCTTGCAGCCCTTGCGGCACTTGCGGCACTTGCGATTGTTGAGGCTGTTGAGACTGTTGAGGCTGCTGTTTTCCTCGTGGCTGCTGTTTCCCTCTCGGCTGTTGCACTCGCGGCGACTGTTGCGCTCGCGGCGACTGTTGCGCTCGCGGCGACTGTTGCACTCGCGGCGATTGTTGCCCTCGCGGCGATTGTTGCGCTCGCGGCGGCTGTTGCCTCCGTGGCGGTATTTCCTCGTCGGAGTCCTCTTGAAGCACTCTCCGATCGAGCTTCACCGCCTGGCCCTTGCGTCTGCTGGTTCCCTTCGCCTTTACTTTGGTCTGAAGCTTATTGGCCGCGTACGGTTTGCTAAGGTCCAAAGGGACTGCCTCGTCATCTGGATGCGGATTCTCGTACCTTAAAGTTGACGAGGTCTGTGTTGCCGTGGGCAACGGTGATCCGCTCGAGCCACTGTTCGGTGTCGCGTTAGCTCTTGGCACTGTCAGGTTCTGTGGTGATTCTTCTACGTTTCCATTGTCATCGTTTGGTCTGAACAGTTGTTGGAATTTGCTCTCAATGGCCAGGTTCTCGCGTAACCGGGCCAGAGGAAAGCCGGCGAACAATTGGTTATAGGGAAAAGACATCATCGGCTGATTGTTAACGGCTCCTTTCAGACCGGGATTCGCGGCGTTGATCCCGTTGACGAAATTCAAGGCACTGATTGGGCTGACGGCGTTGATCCCGTTCATAGCGCTGGCGGCGTTGATCCCGTTTATAGCGCCGACGGGGTTAACGACGTTCATTCCGTTGATACCGTTCATCCCGTTGATCCCGTTCATGGCAATTAGTGGATTAACAGGCAAATGACCGGCCGCCGTCTCGAATTGTGCGGACGGTCCAGGCATTTGGTGAGCCAGATTATGGACGACGTCATCGTGGCTGACTATCGGCCTCTGCTTCGGTCCCCTGCGTGTCCCATACACGTCTATGATCGGATACGGATTCGGCGATCCATCCGGGTTCAACACTATCGCCGGCCGGTGGCAGTACTTGCGCAGATGTAACTTTAACGAGTGACAGTACTTCGTCGCATACGTGCAGTCTTCACAGCTATACTGATAAACATCCGAATGAGATTTTAAATGGCTGTTCAGCATTGACTTGTTCACGCACGCGTATTCGCATAGATCACATATATACGGTTTGGAACCGAAATGATTCCTCAGGTGATACTCGAGGTGATGCTTATACTCTGTTACGAAAGGGCATTTTGGACAGGTAAGTAATTTTTCGGGCTTGATGTGAATGCGGCTATGCTCCCAGAATTCCAGCTTGGTGATAGCGACGAAATTGCACTGTTTACATTTGAACGTCTTAATTTTTCCTTGGTTGTTTATTCGCGGCACGCGCAATCCAGGCTCTTCATCCACAAATTCGGGATTGTCCTCCGTCAACGTGCCGAACAGATCGGCTAACACGCTCCTCACGAAAGCGGGAACATCCTTTTTCGAGGCACAGTGCGTGGCCAGATGTTCGCAGAACGTTACCCTGTCATCAGAAACGCGTAACCATCGATAAAAATTCTCGAGGAGAGAACGATCACGTCGCGCAAGTAGTTCTAATCGACTTTATAAAGCTTTATATATGTCGTGGTTGTTAAATCCGTCTTGTCGTCAACTATAACATTATTAAGTGAAAAAGATATAGTAACAATCGAAGCATCGAGGTTAAAAAATTATTATATGAAAAAATTATTGTATAAAAAATTATTATATAAAAACCTATTATATAAAAATATTTATTATATGAAACATTGACAATTTTCCTTGGTCAAAAGAATATTAATGTTCAAATAAATTATAAGCAATATTCCTTTTTCAGTTCTTTCCGGTGCTTCGACAGAAAAATGTTATTAAAAAAAATTCATTAGTACTCGGACTTCTATAAACGTCAATGTAAAAAATTGAAACAAAAATTTTGTTTCAAATGAAAAATTTAAAGTCACCTTGATCTTTTTTGCTGGATAATGTTAGTTAATACAACGACCTATATAAAACTGTCTACAGAATTACTAAAACATTGCTAAAATCGTTATGAACAGCTAATTCATCGATTGGAACCACTGTGCAGCGTTATTAAAATCACAAGACTTAAATTACCTATTGTACGTAGTGTACTGGCACACCGGGCATTGCACGAGTCTTGGTCCTTGCACGGGCGACTGCGTCGAAGTTGACGCCGAGGTCGACGCCGGGGTTGTCGCTGGGGTTGACGTCGGGGTTGACGCTGGGGTCGACGCCGAGGTCGAAGGGATCGCCTGATCGGGCTGATGCTGGGCCGACGAACCTTGCTGCGCCAACGAACGTCTCTGCGCCAACGAACGTTTCTGCGCCAACGAACGCCGCTGCGCCGACGGACCTGGCTGCGCCGACGAATTTTGCTGCGCTAACGAACCTTGCTGTGCCGACAAACCTTGCGACGCCGACGAACCTTGCTGCGCCGAGGAGCCTTGTTGCGCCGAGGAGCCTTGTTGCGCCAAGGAATCTTGTTGAGCCGACGAACCTTGTTGCGCCGACGAACCTTGTTGCGCCGACGAACCTTGTTGCGCCGACGAACCTTGCTGCGCCGACAACTCGAGAGGAGAGTTGCATTTCACCCCCTGCTGATTATAATTGCAAGAGCTGCCCTCGGCTGGGTTCGGAGAATTATGAGAGTTTGAACTGCCGGGCGACAAGCTGTTGTTCGCCGCGGAAGAAGATCGCCTACTCGCAGAGTCCGGGCTGCTCCCGTAATGGTCGGGCGACACGCCCGAGTCGTCATTTTTGTCCTCTACTAATTCGTTTTTCTGTAAGACAACGTATCCAAAGTTAGTTGAACGATCTCGACGCGNTTCGACAGAAAAATGTTATTAAAAAAAATTCATTAGTACTCGGACTTCTATAAACGTCAATGTAAAAAATTGAAACAAAAATTTTGTTTCAAATGAAAAATTTAAAGTCACCTTGATCTTTTTTGCTGGATAATGTTAGTTAATACAACGACCTATATAAAACTGTCTACAGAATTACTAAAACATTGCTAAAATCGTTATGAACAGCTAATTCATCGATTGGAACCACTGTGCAGCGTTATTAAAATCACAAGACTTAAATTACCTATTGTACGTAGTGTACTGGCACACCGGGCATTGCACGAGTCTTGGTCCTTGCACGGGCGACTGCGTCGAAGTTGACGCCGAGGTCGACGCCGGGGTTGTCGCTGGGGTTGACGTCGGGGTTGACGCTGGGGTCGACGCCGAGGTCGAAGGGATCGCCTGATCGGGCTGATGCTGGGCCGACGAACCTTGCTGCGCCAACGAACGTCTCTGCGCCAACGAACGTTTCTGCGCCAACGAACGCCGCTGCGCCGACGGACCTGGCTGCGCCGACGAATTTTGCTGCGCTAACGAACCTTGCTGTGCCGACAAACCTTGCGACGCCGACGAACCTTGCTGCGCCGAGGAGCCTTGTTGCGCCGAGGAGCCTTGTTGCGCCAAGGAATCTTGTTGAGCCGACGAACCTTGTTGCGCCGACGAACCTTGTTGCGCCGACGAACCTTGTTGCGCCGACGAACCTTGCTGCGCCGACAACTCGAGAGGAGAGTTGCATTTCACCCCCTGCTGATTATAATTGCAAGAGCTGCCCTCGGCTGGGTTCGGAGAATTATGAGAGTTTGAACTGCCGGGCGACAAGCTGTTGTTCGCCGCGGAAGAAGATCGCCTACTCGCAGAGTCCGGGCTGCTCCCGTAATGGTCGGGCGACACGCCCGAGTCGTCATTTTTGTCCTCTACTAATTCGTTTTTCTGTAAGACAACGTATCCAAAGTTAGTTGAACGATCTCGACGCGGGGGAGGAAGCGTGAACTGCGGAAGAATCTCGCGACCGAGACACGGGAGACCGTCGGAAGCTGCGACGAGTCCATCGAACCGATGGAAACGCGACATTTTGTCGATGGTGGAAGGGGATGGTCGAGACACGATGGCGAACCCCGAACTACGGGGATCGGAAGGAAAAAAAGAGTAGACAATGGGGGACGCGGGGGTGGCGCGAGGGTGAGATGCAAACAGAGCGAGAGGGTGAATATATGTCGGGGGATGACGAGAGAGGGAGAGAACGAGCGGGGATTCGATCGGAGCGGGGTTGAAACGATTACTCACGATGGTTCTATCCGCGATACCCCAACCGGGCGTGGTTGTGGAATGGAGGGCCTGTCGTTGCTGCTCTCCGATGATCTGTGGCTGCGGCTGCAGTTGCAGTTGTTGTTGCTGCGGCTGCAGTTGTTGCTGAATATTTTGCTCCAGCTGAAATTGTTGCTGCCCCTGCTGTAACTGCAGTTCTTGCTGCAGCTGCAGCCGGAGTTGTTGTTCATGCTGCAGCTGCAGTTGTTGTTCTTGCTCTTGTTGTTGTTGTTGCTGCTGCTGCTGCTGTGTTCTTCTCGGTTGCCTTTTACGTGTGGGTTTTCGAGATTCGCTCGTATCGGCACTACCTTGCATGTTTGTACCCTGTTGGAGGAAAATCGAGGAAATTAAGGTGGCCGTTATTTTCTGACCGACTTATTCGAGCGAGATAGAAGACGAAAGAAAAATTCCTCGGGTACAGTGTATCAGGATAGAACAAACGTCCTAGCACGTGAAACGGATTTCGGAATCGGAAATTTCACGGAGGATATTGAACCCCCGTGAAAATCTGCATTCGCGTTGGATCCGAATGTTCTGACCGGCGATGAAGGAAATAAATGAATGGCTAAAACGCGGCCGTGAACAGTTAGACGACCTTTCCGAGGACAGATGGGTAACCCCCAAGGTGGCACGGTGGCGGCGGCGACGAAAATTTGAATAGCGTAAGAAGACAGGTGTAAAGCTGCGGCACAATGACAGTGGGAAGGGTTGGACATTTGCGGACGATTGTGCGAGTTTCCGCTAAGAAGGGTACGACTGCGATAAATAACCACTGTCCTCGTCTCTCTCGCTGGCCAGGTATGTCGGCTCGTAGGCAACGCGTCACATTCTAAAGCGAATTCCCGGTAAAATCATTCGACAACATTTGCCTGTTACCCTTGGCGTAATTTCGCGTAATTTCGCCCTACGACTTACGATCTTCAAGAACGAATCGTAACGGCGCGTAAGAATGGCCGAGTCAGTTTATTCGAGCGGGCCAACAAATATGTAGTAAGAATTGTTTCGGTCGAGGATCGACGTCGCGAGGTCGATCGAGGATCACGAGGGTCTCCGATATCGTACGAATTGAACCTTTTATTCGATTATTCGATATGATCCCGTTTCCCGTTACTCCGTTAAAAAAAAAAGAAAACGTCCCTGATATTCTAAGTTTAATTTTGTAATTTGCGTCTAAACTTTGCATCTCTTCGTTAGGCGCCGACTTATCTTTAGAGAAGAAACTCGCCGCGCACCCTTCACGGTCAATATAATTGTATCAATAGAGTCATTAACAATGTAAACTTTCGCAGCAGCAACAACATTAATTTTTTCCGTGATTGTCAAATCTTCCGTCGCAATATACACTGTGTATACTCTTTAACTAAATTATTTGTCCGTATCGTTTTTGTCTGTGATCTAAAAGTTAATTAGCCCGTTTAATAGATGATGATAATAATAATAAAAATAAAAATAATAATAATAATAATAATATCCTCCGAATCGAGCTGTCGGTTTTTGTTCGAACATTCGTTAAGATCCCATCTCTCGTTTCTCCGATAAAAATCAATATTTCGATCTACCAATTTCTACGCTGCTTTCGCTCGATTAAGTAACTCGTCCTCGACCATTCTAATCGAGAAATTGATCGAAATCGTTCGAACAGAATCCGGTCGTCCATAGAGCATGGATCGAAAATAAATATTCGCAAACCGAAAATAAATATTCTTCGTTCGAGCGACTACGAATCCTCGTACGATGATTGTTGGCAAAAAAAAAATGAAAAGGTTTCCGAAGCGTCGCGGCGCGTAACTGTATAAATCATCCCGATGATCCAATAACGAGCACGCGAGATTTATGGTGGCCACTTTCAAGGACGACCTGTAATTGTCTTTCTCCGGGTACTAGAGTCCTAGGTACTAGGGTTGAGGCCCGGTTGAGGGTTCTGCTAAATTATTCAAGTGGAGCAAAACCCTAAAACCCGTCGAAAATAGACCGGGTTGTCCTCGGCGATTTTGCCTGTGACTTTTGACGAAATCTCTATTGTCCCGTGTACCCCGTGAGGCGGTGGTCGTAAATAAAATTCAAAGCAGTTGCCTCGTTTTCGACTGTTCTGCGAGAAGCGAGCCAAGGAACTGGCCGAAGACAAACAACCCTTGTAGAAACGAAAGTTTTCCGGCGGATCCGGAGCAGCAATTATCCAGTTGCCGCGAGTAAGTCTGCTTACCATATTTTTCGAAAGGGAAAGCGAGACGAGCGAGAGACGAAAAGAGAAACGGAGCAAGAGCTTTCCCCTTTTCTCTTCCTCTTTTCGGAGACGATTCTTCCCGCGAGAGCGAAGGAAGACGTCCGGCTGCGCGATCCCGAGCACGCGGAATCAATAGGCGCGGCTTCGAAACACGCGCCCGCGAAATTCTTTCGGCACAGGCCGCACGTTCGAGAGCGATCGCATTCCGTAGTAGGGACGTTTACGAGTCGATTAAAGCGTGCCTCCTTCTCCCGTCTTTGGTCGGCCAAGGAGAAAAAAGACTTTGACAAAGGTCGAAGCGATCCTAGTCTTTCGAAATTCCAAGCACAATCACAACAGTAAATAGACGAAACAGGGGGGAGACAGTGCCGAGAACCTGGATTCCACGTATTAGCAGGAAAAACGCGAGTACAATGCCGATGAAAGTGGAAAATCGCGATACGCCCCCGGGGATTTCGATCGGCCGAAAAAAAGTCGAGATTGCTCGGATGGATTCGAAGATCGAGGGCGCCACGATTCACGGTGCCCGGTCCAGGGGATCCCGAATTCTCGGCATACAACGATGCATAGAAAATTTAGAGACAAGCATCTAGAAATCGGAATCGCGATGCCGAGACCAGAATCCGCTCGGCGACGTTATGGCGAACGCGGACGCAACCGGTGCCGGTCCTGTCCCGTCCGTCCCGTCCGAGAGTTCACGGGCAAACCACGGCGCGTTTGTTTTCCCGATATTCTCCCGTCGCCGTCGACATATTGAATTTTCCTCGGTGTTTGTTTTCCCGGTGCTCGCGACGTTGATGTCGCAGGGCTCCGACGCTTTTCGAAACACACGGAAACTAAACAACGGCCGATTTCGAGCGCGTGTCGCCGCGAAGGTCCTCGCAAGATTCCCGGAAAGCCGGCGACGCGCCGCGACGAACTGAAAGTCGACCTATAATCGCGCACACGTCGCTTCAACGGACTGACAAACGAACGGCGCAAAAAACTCGCGATAAAATAAAAACGATCGATCGGGCCGCGCGAAACAATCGCTAAACACCGTCGGCGATCCGCTCGCAAGCACTCCCGGCTTCATCCGAGTCTCCGCGAAGATCCGGGCGACGTTTATCGCAAATCCTATCGCAAGTCCTATCACAAGTCGCGGAGCCGCGGATGGAGCAACGAGATATCGATTTTGCAAATTGTGATCACGTACCTTCATCTCAAAAACTTCAGAGTTGTACCACTGCGTGACGCGAAAATCCTGCCCGTTCCTTACTTGTACACTGCTTACACTGTGCACTAATAAGGAACGTCCGATCACTGTGACAGAGAGTACTAGCTCTACTATCTCTACTAGAGTGGGATCACTCTAATATCTAGAAAGAGTTCGTCGTGCAAACGCATCAGCTAACCGATGTGATTCGAATACTCGAAAACCGACCCGAACGAATTCACAACCCCAAGTTGCTACCCGGATGGATGCTCGAGGTAAACTGACGAGATACTAAGTCCCAAAGTGGTGACCAGCTTACTTAGCTAGACGGGGGCAGCTACCCTCTCCAGTCGGCTCGGCCGCCAGACCAATCGGAGCCCGCCGTTGCCGGGGTTCGTAAAACTTTTACAATATCCCGCCCGCCCTTTGGCGAACCGGAGACCTGCTTTCTGCAAATTCTGGCGTCACCTTGATTTTTTCGACGCCCCATTAGTCAACCCTTACTTCCCACTACTCATTTTTAACCCCCACCAATCTTCCGCAGCCCGTCACTTTGTTTCGAATTGTTTCTTCGCCGCCGATCTCGCTCACCAGCTCTTTCTCCCTTCCTCCTTCGAGGATTCTTTCGTTCGCGGTAACCTTCGATATCCGACGATATCTGTTTCGACAACGAACTAATCAACGAATATTCGATAACTTCGAGCGTTACACGATTATCGGAATCTTTCGCTATCCGGGCCGTTCGACTGGGTTAGAATCTTCGCGGCGTAATACTTGCCGAATTGTTACAAAAGACGAGCGATAACGAATTATAAGGACACGGTAAATTTTCGCATCGCCGTAAATTATCTTGACAATAAATTTGATCGGTAAACAATACGCGCGTTGGTAAACAACAACACTCGTTGCTTCCCGCGACGAGGAAAATCTGACTTACGACACTACGATCCTAACCCACTCAATCGTCGCTCCTTTGTCTTTCAACAATTGTGTACGGCAGACAGAAAATTTCTGTTTACATCGTCTGATTTTGTAAACGTTTATTTATTTATTTATTTAGCCGTTAGACCGGCAAGAACGCGCATTAGTATGCAATATAGAAAGACACCTGTTCGGCTGAGACAGAGAATATCTTTAATTCGTCTCCAACGAATTGAAATAAAATTTTATTTATTTATTTATTATATTATATATATAATTCGTTGGAGACGAATTGAAGATATTTTTGCACGAATTTTCGCATTAGATTCGCGCGTTCATTTTGTTGCGATTCGATCGTTTTTACATCTTTTATCTACAATCACTAGACTGCGGATTTTGTGCGTTTATGAAAAAAAAGTAAGTCCAAGATCGATTAACAGCACATTAACACTTTAATTACCGAAAGCCTATTAACAAGCTTCTCGATGGCTGAACTGTTTTTAAAAGAAGAGCTCTCGACGATTTTGTATTATAATAATAATTTCCAAAGAACTTGTTACATTGTATTCGTGTAATTAATTCGATGGATTATTGTGGCTTTCGAGCAATTGTTTAAGAAGATGTCGATTGGTGATCTTCGATTTTAAGAGAACCATTATGAAACGGCCGATAGATAAAGTGTCAAATGCGAGACAAAAATTTGACAATACTGTGCTCGATTATTTTCAACCGAATAAAAATGTTCAGAATGAAGATCAATCTTGATCGAACTCCCGTTCGTTGCAAACCGAGGCGGAGAATTTTTATTTCGCCTAGAGATCGGCAGTCTAATAACGACTCGTGAAAATTATGACAACAGTTTGACAGGATCGCTGATTTACGAATACAATAATTTCTTTCCAATTTGCGGTCTGATTGCGCCCAAAAATGGACGATTTGGGAAGAGGAGATACGATTATTTGAGCCTCGCGGATCTTTTTTATAGTTACTGATTGTCAACACAAAAAAAACGAGCCGCGGAGCTCGAATAATCGTATCTCCTCTTCCCAAATTGTCCATTTTTGTGCGCAATCTGACCGCGAATTAGGACAAAATTACTGTATTTTCATAAGTCGAGGAGAAGAATACACCGCGATGCAGACCTCGGGCTACTTAGTGGCAGTCTCATTGCAGTCAAAGGATCGAGTGGTTAGCGGAAACCATGCGACACCGTGCGTTCGAGCCGGTTTCGTTTAAAAATACGAACGATCCTCTAATTGGCGTCGGCGATTTCTCTCCGGAAAAAGAAAAGGGCGAGCGCGTTTTCTTTTTCCGTCGTGGACGGTCTGCTTTCTCTCCGATCGGACGGGTCGCACCCTTTCGCCGTCTTCGGGAAACATCCGACAACCGGAGCCATTAGTCGTGATCCAAAATTACAGAAAACCAAGGGAGGAACGCTCCAAGGTTTCCCCCTAGGACCGTTATATTTCCCTAGCGCATTTTTGGAGAAAAAGGAGAGAAAACGGGGAGAAAGCCGTCTAACGGAATCGTCGCGAGCGGGTGCTCGTTCTGTTAAAGGGTTACAGGTAGCCGAAGGACGCTATAAATTGGCTTCTGAGCCTCTGGTCGCTAAGGGCGGGAAATGTCAAGGCCATAAAGGCTTCATTTAAAAAGCCCCCTGCAACCCTTTCTTTCGAATTTACTTTTTCCAGCGAACCGAGCGGAATGAAAGAAAATGGAGTTCAATTGTACGGTTTTCTCGCTTCGTTGTTTATGACGCTTTCACAGTTAAACTGTTGCTGGCCCGTGCGAAAAAAGAGGAGCGGAAAGAGGTGACGGGGATACATGAATTTCTAACTGTTTTCCCAGTTTTTCCCCCGGTCCGAGTACGCGTCGCTCAACCCTTTCTCGACCTTGTTTTTCCTCTTGGCAAAAAAGACAAAGGGATAACGTCGCGTCGGCTCGCTCTTTTCTATCTGCGCTGCTTTCGAAAAAATCTCCACCACCCCCAATCTTCCACTCATCCAAAAACACGAACTAACGTCAGATTTTCAACTTCGTGGAAAGTTTACAAAATTTTAACCATTGATTCTTATATCCGTGGACCAGGAAAAATGCCAGTTTTACAATGATTTCACTTTTCTTCTAAAATTGTACACTTTGCGTCTTTATAGTTTTATAGCGATGGGACTTTGGGGAAAAACAACTGTAAAATGTTAAAGAGTGTTCTTTCAGCTACAAAAGCGTGTTTAATTTGTTTGGAATATACTAATTTTTCTCGTGTTTTCTTTTATTTAATGACGATTACAAAGCGGACGTTACAATGATTACTGCATGAGAGCACTTGTTGGAATTGTCCAAAGGGCCTAGCCCTTAGCGGTTTTCGAACGCACATTACACCGCTCGTTAGGTGGCCAAGAAAAACCCCTCTGTGAAAAATTTCAACCCTCTAGCTTTCCCGGGTGGGTGGTTACAGAATAAATTAAATCGCGCGCTTTCCCGACCATTCCCCATGTCGGTGGTATCTTAAAATTTTTTTTAAAAATCTGACCTATTTTGGATAACAGGCCGCATGTCAGTGAATTTTTTCAGATTTTTCGGTTATAAACTGTGGTTACAGAAAGTAAAAAACGAAAAAAAATCGGAAAATCGCAGATCTCTCAAAAGAAGACGTGTGAAATCCCGAAAATATGTATAAATTTATACAATGTGTAATGTGAGCAGAGAAAGATCATTCTCCGTTTGAAATGATTTGGCTCTGATGTTCATCGAAAATGATATAGACTACCTTAGACTACGAAGAAATTGTCAATAAGTTTTCATAGCAAAAGTCCAGAGAAGCTGTTGTTTAAATTAACTTTTCGATATTAAAAATAAAATTTTATAAGTTTAATCTTTTCGTATTAATATAATTTTTCGTAATATAATTTTAATTATATAACAATTTTTAGTGGTGCCTTGTGGTCACCACTCGAGTGCAAATAGTTGAAAAGGTATTATTTTAAAATGAAAATATAATTATATTTTAATTATAAGAATATAATTAAATTAAAAATATAATTTTTAATTATATTTTACACCACAAGGCACCACTAAAAATTGTTATATCATTAAAATTATATTTACATTATCACATATTTGTATTCTATTTAAAAAAACTGTTAAAAATGTAACTGTTATATGAGTCACAGAATTCAATTTCATGTGCATGAAATGCAATGAATCACATAAAATGGAAATACTGTAGATCATCCAAAACTATTTTGGATTTAGAGTGAAAATGGCTTCGGGTACAATGGGTTAATAATCGCTCTATTTGGCATAGCATATCATAGCATATTAGGGGCCTCCATTTTGTTTCACGCCTCGGGCCCGGGTACACCTTAATCCGCCATTTTGTAATCATATTTTGAAGTCGTAAACGATTGTCTCGACTAGTGCAATCAGCGAAATCCAATTTTGCAGATTGACTCGGCCGCCTGGCATCATTAAATCTCGCCTCTTATTGGTAATATTTTTTTTTATTACTTTGGAAAAGCCTGTATACACACCGGATTCAAAAGTGTCATGCGAAATACCAGGTCTGATAATTTTTACAACGGAAATGGACGAACCAGACAGTAAATCATTTACGGAATGTTATTATTATTATTATTATTATTATTATTATTGTCATTATTAACATTAAGATTATGTAGTAGCTGCAACTATTGACCTGAAACTTTGGTATTAGTCTTAATGTCAATAACAGCAATAACAATGATAATTTTATTAGTAAAATTGTACCGAATATTATTATTATTGTTATTATTAAATTAGTATTTTTATTATTTAAATTATTATTATTATTATTATTAAAATTAGGATTATGTAGTAGTTGCAATTATTGACCTTAAACTTAGGTATTAGTCACATATTTTGCTTCGTAGGGGCTCCAAGGATGATGAGAGAGTATTATTGTAAATAAATCTTACTTGATACCATCTCAAGAGTACGGTAAATTCTCCCAAATTTTTTTCAACTTCTAAACGAAAATGGACAATATCGGAAGACGAGATACGATTATTCGAGTCTTGCGGCTCATTTTTATAGTTTCAGATTGTCAACAATTACAAAAACGAGATGCAACATTCGAATAATCGTATATCCTCTTCCGATATTGTCTATTTTCGTTTACAAGCTGAAGGAAAATTAGGAAGAATTTACTGTAATTGTGGGTCACACATGTCGCTAATACAACCATTTCGAAAATTTTTCTACATGAAAATGGATATCGAAATTCTACGACTCAAAGAGCTTATAAAACCGTTCCTTTTATAACGAATAACGTAGAAATAAAAGTGCTACGAATTTAATTCACGTTTTAG